CATATTTGTCGAATGTAAAAACTGGTTCGAATAGGGAAGTCACTTTTGGAGATGGTGTGAGCAACAAGGTAATTAAACTGGTTGCTTGAACTTAGGTGGTCTTCCTAGATTAGATGATGTGTTGCTTGTAAATGATTTAAAGGCTAGCCTCCTTAGTGTGAGTCAGCTTTGTGATCAAGGTCTAAGTGTCAGTTTCTCGCGTGATAAGTGTTTTGTGAAAAATAATGAAGGTACATGCGTTATTATTGGATCTCGATCAACTGACATTTGCTATCTTGTTGACTTACATGAAAAATGTTTTCAAGCAACTGTTAGTGAATCTGAAATCTTGCATCAATGCTTAGGTCATATTGAATACTCTCACTTGGTCAATACATCTAATGCAGATGTGGTTCGCGGAGTTCCAAAAATTGTCATGAAGGAACTCCCATTTTGTGAACCTTGTCAACTTGGAAAGCAAACGCGAGCCCCACACAAAAGCTTGAACTATATTGCATCAAAGCAAGTTCTGGAGTTGCTTCACATGGACTTGATGGGACCAATTCAGATTGAGAGCTATCAAGGTAAGAAGTATATTTTTGTGTGCGTAGATGATTTCTCTCGTTACACTTGGGTTGATTTTCTGCGTGAGAAATCTGATACCTTCATTGCCTTTAAAACTCTTTGCCTAAAACTTGAAAACGAAAAGAGATTTCCCGTAACCAGAATTAGGAGTGATCATGACCGTGAATTTGAGAATAGTGAATTTTCAGTCTTTTGTACTTCTCACGATATTTTGCATGAGTTTTCGGCCCCTAAGACACCCCAACAAAATGGGGTTGTCGAAAGGAAGAATCGTACCCTTCAAGAAATGGCAAGGGTGATGTTAAACTCCAAGAAGATCTCTCATGGATGGTGGGCAGAGGCTATCAACACAGCATGCTATCTAGTTAACATATGTACCTTCGTTGAGGTATGGGGTTGACATCTTACGAGCTTTGGAAAGGTAAGAGTCGGGTGTAAGTGCTTTATTTATAATGATCGAGAACAACTTGAGAAATTTGATGCTAAAAGTGACTTAGGGTTCTTTCTCGGATTTTCTAATAACAGTCGAGCATACCGTGTTTACAACACAAGTACCTCCACTGTTATAGAATCCATGAATGTAATTTTTGATGAGAAAACTCCCAATGTTGATTCTTCTGTGACTATTGACCTGCTTGAAAGTACTGTCAGTATGCAGGACACCCCAGTTGAGACCTCGAAACGTGATAAATAAAGTGTGCATGAAGAAGGTTCATCAGAAGGCTCACCTAAAAATCAGTCGGAATACGGTGTTCCCACCACTGGAAATCAAGATGAACAAAAAAGGGATCCACCTTTGAGGATTCAGAAAGCTCACCCATCTGAACTGGTTATTGGAGACTTGAATGAGAGGGTAACCAGGAACTCAAAAACCTCGACTAAGGAACTCATGGGGATTTCTCACTTTGCATGCTACACCTCATTAATAGAACATAAGAATGCAAAGAGGCACTAAAGGATGAATGTTGGATCACAGCCATGTAAGAAGAATTGGAGCAATTCAGTCGAAATGATGTCTGGGAACTCGTTCCTGAACCTTCATCTGGAAATGTTATCGGAACCAAATGGATCTTCACAAACAAAACCGATGAGTTCGGTAATGTGACTCGCAATAAGGCCAGATTGGTTGCACAAGGGTACACTCAGACTCAAGGAGTGGACTTTGATGAAACCTTTGCTCCAGTTGCACGACTTGAATCGATACGCTATATTTTTATCAATTGCGTGTCTAATGAAGTTCATTTTTTACCAGATGGATGTTAAGTTGGCATTTCTGAATGGAATATTGCACGAGGAAGCTTGTGTGAAGCAGCCAGAAGGTTTTAAAGACCCTAGTAACCCTAATTATGTTTACAGACTCAAGAAGGCACTGTATGGTCTGAAACAAGCACCTCGTGCTTGGTATGAAAGACTTACTATGTACCTTCTGGAGAAGGGGTTCAAACGAGAGGGAGTTGATCAGACTTTATTTGCACTAAAGACCAATATAGACCTGCTGGTGGTTCAAATATATGTAGATGACATCATCTTCGGGTCAACCTCGAAGAAACTGGTCAATCACTTTGTTGAGCTTATGTCTTCTGAATTTGAGATGAGTCTGATATGTGAACTTTCTTACTTTTTGGGCCTTCAAGTGAAGCAAGGTAAAAATGGTATCTTTTTGCATCAAAGTAAATATGCTAGAAACCTTGTTAAAAGTTAGGTCTTGAAAATGTCAAATCTCCTCAGACTCCTATGGGCACTCATATAAAAGTGTCTAAGGATGATGAAGGTACATCTGTAGATCAAACTCTTTACCGTTGTATGATTGGTAGTCTTTTATATCTTACTGCCAGTAGACCTCACATTTGTTTTAGTGTTGGACTTTGTGCCAAGTACCAGGTTGCTCCCAAAGAATCTCATTTGAAGGCAGTCAAGCACATCATCAAATATGTTTGAGGTACATCTAACTCTGGGTTATTTTATTCTGCTGATACGAACCTACATCTTGCAGGTTACTACGATGCAGATTGGGCCGGAAATCTTGATGATAGGAAAAGTACTTCCGGTGGCTGTTTCTATATAAGGTCAAACCTGGTCTCATGGTTCTGCAAGAAACAAAACTGCATCTCCCTATCTACAGCCGAAGCTGAGTAGAAAAATCCCGTCCAACATTCTCGTACCAAGCATATTGACATTGGCTATCATTTTATTCGTAATTTGGTGGAGGATGGAACTATTGTGTTGGATCATGTACCTACAAATGATCAACTTGCTGATATTCTCACAAAAGCACTTGATTCAAAACGCTTTTTGTCACTAAGGAAATCCTTAGGAATGTGTGCTATATAATATTTATGCATGTTGTGTCTTTTGCATTTATATGTATATATATTTTGTGTCGCATATTAGAGTTATCTTGCATTTAGGCATAATAGTATGTAGGTTCATCCCAAGAACTTTCCTTGAATAATTTGTCGTTGGATAAATAAATTGATGTTCTATGGATTCAAACTGATCAGTTTGGTTGAGCTCGTCACAATGATCCTTTAAAAACTACTTGTAAGAGCTGCTCTCGTGAAAGTAGACATCGGGAACCTATAACATGAGGCGTTTCCATGATCGCTTGTGAAACGAGTTACGTGTTTAGGAATAATCGAGGGGTGATAGCTGCAAGTAGTCATCCCTTGTGGATGCAGGTTCATTGGTGAAATAAGGTTGGTCATCTTTCAAAGCCCTCTCAGCATATTCAAAAGAAACTTTTTGCGGGATGATTCACACTTTAAGTAATGGGCTTGACTTTGGCGTATAGTTAATGTTAATAAGTGAAATAGTGTGAAAGTTTATAGAACGAAGTAAGTTCATCATTAGTATTGGGGCTGGATTGCGAATGAAAATTTCGTTTTTTGCTAAGAGAAAATTATGAAAGAACTTATTTTAATTTCGTGTTGTATAAAAGTGGAGATATAAGGGCTGAGTTGGTTTCGTAAAAATTCTTATCATCTTGTTAGTGTCGAGCTCTTTTAGAAATTGATTGGGGATGATCTTTAGAAAAATTGATGAAAATATTTTTCGACATTGTATGATTGGGAGTATCTTGGTTATTGCTTGATCATTAAAATATTTAGGCATGTGCATATATTTTCCCTGTGATTAATTGTGTTTCGAATTTGTGTCAAAATTATTTTTGGTACTAAATATGACCATATTTTTTACCAAAACTTCATTACACTTATATATGGTAAGCCGTGTCAAAATGTTGGTATTTGGAGGGAACAATTTTTGGTATTAATTGGTGCATAAGTTTGAAATTCAAAATTGAAAAGTTGAACAGTCTAACCTATCCTTTCTTTCTTCGGTAACTGCAATTTGGTTTCCCTATATCTATCATATCATCTCTCCTCTCTCTCTCAAATCAATCATCTGATTTTTGCATCTCTCCAAAATTTTCTAACCTTCCATATCTGTGTCAAATACCTTCTACTATTTGAAACTATGTCGAAAAGCAAAACAAGAAAAGTGAAGCTGAAAAAGGATGTTCCAAAGCCTTAACGGCGTTCCACTCGTCAAAGCCAAAGTACTGACACTCCACCAAATATCACTTCTTCCGACATGGCAACCGAAAAGCTCAACCCTCTTAGCCCGTCGAAACTAGGGTTTCCCCAAAGTCCCAAAAAGTCCTCCACGGCAAAGGTCGCTACTCCCGACGTTGCGGTTAGTAGTGAGAAAGGTGGCAAATTTGCTGCCAATCCTCAGAACTTACACTAATATACCTATTTATAGTAAAAAATGGTATCTCAATTTTTTTTTTTCATATTGCTGAGCATTTTACTCAATATCCATATATATAAAAAGGTTTGTATTTAATTGAAATAGTAACTAAAATCCCGCAAAAAATTTTAATTTGGCCTTTATTAGTAATTTTTGAAAAGTGGCGGCCAATCATTTGAGATTCAAATTAAAAAATCAATGTAATTAATGTACAGAAACATTTTGGTCAAGTATTGCAGTTATTACCTTTATTAGTTGCATGGTTTAAATTTGGTATATATTATATTGGCAATGCATAACATATTTAGTATAAAATATATTTGGTATATATATAATATATTGCGGCTATTACCAAGCATATATTGACAATGAATATTATAAATGGTAAAAAAATTGATACATATGTAATGTATAAGGAGATTTATTATGTAGTCTTAAGTTTGGGTTCCAACACAGTGACACACACACACACACACATATATAGAAGTGCACCCAAATGAGAAAATAGCATAATGAAAGAAATGAGAATTAATGTGGACTGTTTGATCTATTATTTTCACGGACGAGATGCAGTCAGCAGCATTGAATGCCTGGTCAATAAGCGGTGGCGTTCTCGTAATTACGGATGAATTATGTGAGCAATTGTGTAAGTCTGAGGGTTGTTTCGTACTTTTCAAAAAAGCAACGGGTAATAGCTGAACGTTAGGGCACATTCATTGAGGACAGTAATGAAGGCCCGACTCCCAGAGCTCTAGAGCTAGCGTATGGCGATGGTGAAAATATGGTAAGGAAAAAAGAAAAAAAAATTGAAAAAAAATAATTTCTTTATCATTGTTGTAGACGATGGCGAGCATCTTATAGCCTCGCTCTTTTTCTCACAGATCCGTTGTATATGTTGAAGATAGTTTAGATCCAGATTCGTACAGCTCATTGTGTTAATCGAACATATATTAACAATGGAAAACTCTCCGAAATTGGAGAAATCAGGTAAGATTTGTGTTCATTATGTTTATTTTGCCTAGTATATTAACAATGCTTTTTTCTTCGGTTACAACTCATATTTGTGTTTCTAATGTGAATCTTGGATCATCAACTGCTTTGTTGAGTAAGTTTCAAGCTGTGGATTTGTGATTTATTTAAGAATAATTGTTGAATTGTGCGTTTGCTTTTGTGGATTTTCATGTGTATGTGTGCTTTTTTCTTCTATTACAACTCATATGTGTTTCTCATGTGAATCTTGGATCTGCTTTGTTCAGTAAGTGTCAGTTATTGAAATTTGCAGCTCTTAGATTTTATTTCTTGTCCTAAAATGAAATTTGCCATTTGAGGTTCCATGGCAGGTTTTGATTTTTCTGTTGTAATGACTGTGCCTTATTAATTAATGGAATTTCCTCATTTAATCATAGACGCACTACTGGTTTGACTTTTCGAGTGGCTTACGGTCTAAATTGAAGATCACTTTCTGACTTTTTTATTTTGCTCTGTGTTTTGTTTTTTAACCTAAGAATTATGGCTAGTTCCGACTATTCATGGTGTGAGGATTTTTAATATATCCTTGAATTGGCCAATAACTAGTCAATGCTGAAATCCTTTAGAATCTGCCATACGCGTAATGAATAGGCCATAAATTCAAGCAAATGATGGCGTCACTTCACATTGGTGTTGGAATTCTATGTTCATCAGAGTTTGGTTCAACTCTATTCTAAAGTTTTTATATTATCTTACCACACCCTCTAATCTTGATCATATTCTTTACCACATATGGCTACAAAACATGTTTGTACTTTGTAAAATTGAGGACAATTGTTCTATTACATGTTTGTGTGCTACTATTGTGCATTTGTATGTGGCTTTATGTACCTACTACACTATGTATATGTGTTGATTTCCTCGATACAGGTAAACTTGCTGCAGATGACAGCATATCGGAAAGACCGCTTATTACTTGGAAAGGTATGTGTCGTCATGTTGTTGCATTATGGCAATATTTTCTATGATATTTAGCTTGTACGTAACGCGTGTTTATGCCTCTAACGATTGATACTATTTGCTAGCAACTCGACGTCGTGCAAGTCTGCCTTTACTTGAACCGAGTAGCACATAAGTGATGGTTGGTGATGTTAAAGAAGGTGAACACCTACACATTATACATTCTTCTATGTGTCGGTTCATGTATTGTGAGTAGTCATTCACTTTATGATACATTTATTAGATATGCATGTGCCCGTAGTATTTTATATATGGCTGGTGTAAATTTTCATCGTGATTTTTTAGTGATTGTTGTATTTTGTTATTATGTGTTACGATTACAATGTATTTTTCACCACTATTTTCTTGTGTTAAATAATTGCTTATTGTTCAGACGCAACTTGTATGCTGTCGGTGATGCAACTGAACCAGATGGTGCCCGCGCAAAGCGTGCAAAAGTGTGTGCACGTAAAGCAAGCCAGCCGATCAGTGACAACTTTGTTGATGAGGGCCCTCATCCGCTTGTGGCTGAAAACAAAAATGCTCGCGATGGTATATACTCGCCATTGTTTTCCTCTTTCAAGATCTGTAAAAAAAGTAAACTAAGATGATTATTAGACTTGTCAAAACGGGCCGGCGGGGCGGGCCGGCCCGCAGCCCGCCAAAACCCGCCATTTGGCGGGGCGGGCCCGCCATCTTGGCGGGCCTCTAATTGGCCAGCCCGGCCCACCCCGCCACGGGCCGCGGGCTAGGCGGGCTGGCCCGCCAAATTTCTGAAAAAAAAAACCACCTGCTTAGGCTGCTTGTAACACGCGTGATGCGTCAAGAACAAATTCCAAAAGAAAAAAAAACAACGTAGTTAAAAAATTAAGAAAAAAACACCTCCCAAAGAAAATAGAGAAAACAAATCAAAATCAACTCATCATTCATCAAGTTCAGGATTCAATTCATAATCATAACATTGATTCAATTCACAGTCACCCAATTCAATTCACAATCACTGACAAATACACACAAATACACCCCATAGAATAGATAGAACAAAGAATTAAAGGGGTTCAGCCATCATTATCCTTTACCGAAATGGAGTTGCCTTGTCGTTGCCGGCGCCGCTCGGAGACACTGCTTGCCGCTAGCCACTTGCCGCTCCAGTGCAACTGTCGAAGGTCTCGCCGCTCGCCACTCGAGTCGAGGTCCTGCCGCTCGAGTCGAAGCCTCGCAACGTCTTGCCGCCGCCGCTCGAAGGATGAGAGAGAATGAGTATGAGATGAGACTTGATCGACGAGAGCATTTAGGTTTACGGTTTACAAATTAGTGAAACGCGACACGCCCGACTCTCTCAGACTCTCACTCTCTGTTATTGAATCATTGATTTTGGGCTGAAAAGAATAAGTTGGGCTTCAGGCCTTATCAAATATTTTTCCTTTTCTGTTGGGCTTTACTCTTCAGTTGGGCTTAGGGGCATTGATTATCTATTGAAACATTAAATAGGCGGGTCAGCCCGTTCCCACCAGGCCCGCCCCGCAAAAGCCCGCGGCCCGCGCGGGCTGGCCGGTTTAGGCCCGCTCCCTAGCGGGCCTCTAATAGCTCAGCCCGGTCCACTCTTTTGGTGGGGCGGGACGGGCCGACCCTCGGGCCAAAGCCCGTTTTGACAAGTCTCCATCATTCTAATTTTTTATTGGGTAAATTATATATATATATATATATATTAAATGAGTCATTTCTATAAGACTTATTTAGGCAAAAAACAATATGGTTGGATCATCAAATTTTCACTTCTTTCAAACAGTGATATTTATGTTAGTCATGACGTTAACATGGTAATTAATATATTATTTTGTTAACGTTTTTTTACAATATATCTTTATTCATATAAGAAAACAAATAAAAATTACACCTATTTTTTTTTATCATACAATACTCAATTATTATTTTATGATAATATCTGTTGTCATATAACGTCATTATTATTATTTATAAAGGTTATAGAAGTAGTTTTCTTCTTCTTACTTTATGTTAAAAAATTTTAAAATAAAATTTTGTGTATAAATATTTACAAAATACACAGACATGTCTTTTTGGAATTTAATTTTCTCATAATTGTTAAAAAAAAAAAAAATTGATTTAGCAAATTGTCAAATAATAAACCCTTACATAATCAAGAGATTTTTCTAATTTGCATCCTAAGGCTTTATTAGTTTATTTAACATACTATGCAATGTAAATATATATTTTACAAAAAATTCATTATGAAAACAAATAAAAAATAATAAAATTATTATGGTTGACAATAATATACAAATAAATCACAAGTTGAAATTGTAAAGAATAGTGAACATATTTTAATTTTATTATCTAGCCATTAGTAAATTATCTCTTAAATGGTAAATTATTTTAATTTATAAAATTTATTTGATTTTATATAATAAAATAAAGGTTAAAAAATATTAATTCACCAACTTGATTTCGTTTAGTTAGTTAGAAGGAGAAAATTATTTAACATGATATGATTGTTTATAAATATTTTACGATGGAAGTCAATATTTGTGAAAAAAATTAATAATATGGTTAAGACTTAAAATTATTTTCATATTTACATTGACCAAAATATTATCAACATGAATTACGGACAATCAAATTATAGTTTATGATAATGGATATCAATAAAATTATTGCAGATGTTAATAAAATTATTCAAAGAAATAATTTTTCTGATCATATTTGATTCAGAAATGTGCACATGAAAGTAATTAATCATATATTTTAAAAAAATTTAAATAAGGTATGCATTAAATGTTCTTAAATTTTTTTGCTACTATCTTTAGTAAATAGTTATTCTTTATATATATATATATAGATTTCTCCTTTCCTC